CCTACATAACCTGGAGGAGAGAGGGGTGTCCTACTTACTTTTCTGTCGCTGAGATGAAATGCCACGACAAAAGCAACTTACAGAATAGAGTTTGTTTTAGCTCGTGGGTCCAGAAGGGTAAGAGTCCACCAGCAAGCGACAGCCACAGTGGCAGGAACAGGAAATCACTACACCTTCAACCCCAAACCAGGAATGAAGAGAAAGCAGAGAAAGTGAATGAGAAGCGAGGTGAGGTTGTTTATTCTCAGAGCCTTCCCCTTGTAGCATACTTCCTCCTGCAGGGCTACAGATCCAAAACCTCCACCAACAATACCCACAACTGGGGACCAAGTGTGTAATGCCTGAGCCTGTGGGAGACATTTCTCGTTCAAATCAGCATAGCAGACTATTATAAATTTAATTAACCCTTATCCAGTGTAGTGGCTTGAATGAGTTGCCCCCCATCCCATAGTCTGGGTGGGTAAATACTTAATCAGGAGTTGATAGGGAAGCTTAGGAGATGTGTCATTGGGGAATGGCTTTAGGACCTCAGAAAGGCATATGCCATTTCAAGTTTTCTCTCTGCTTCCTGTTTATGGTTCAAGACAAGACCTCCAGCCACCAAGTCTGCTGCTGCCATGCTTCTGCGTCATGATGGCGACGGTGATGGACTCATCCCCCTAGAACTGAAAGCCCAAAATAAACCCTTCCTTCTATAAGTTTCTTTGGTTGTATTGTTTTATAAAAGAAATAAACACTGACAGCAATCGCACTCCTGTATATTTATCAAAGAAATTAAAATTCATATCTATACAAAGCTCTTCATAAATGGTCATGGCAGCTTTATTTGTAATAGTTTCAACTAGAAATGATCCAAAGTCCTTCAAGGTGAGGATGCATATGCAAACTATGGTACGTTAATATCAAAGAGAAACGTGAGAAAAAACTGGTCTCAGGAGGATATATGCTGTATGATCCCATTTCTAAACCCTTGTGTGTGTGTAAATGGGTGAGCACTTTTATGTGGCAGGGTGTACAAGCATGTGAGTGCACATGTATGTACAGGTATGTGGAGACCAAAGGTCCACACTGAGTATTCCTCCTCAGCACTGCACATCTTGCTTTCTGAGACAGAATCTCTCATTGGCCTGGGTCTCCGGAGAGGGGTAAACATTAGACAAAGTAGCACAGATTTGTCCACTGCTCCCAGTGGTCCACGGTTTCTGCCTCACCAGGGCCAAGACTACAAGTGTGTGCCACCACACCAACCTTTCTCACACGGGTTCCTGGAGCCGAACTCAGGCTATTGTCTTGCATGGTCACTGCATGCCATTGCATGGCATGTTCTCCCATCTCTGTGTGTGAAGACTCCACAAATGACGAGAAGAAGAGGCGGATCTCTTCTTCTTCTTCCTTCAAGGCGGAAGGGAAGATACAGCTGTGGGTGAGAGTGTCCTTCGTGAGATTTGGCCGTGCTGCTTCCTGATTACAGTGGTGGGAACATGAATCAGTACATCAATGAAGTTTAGCACACGTCAAAAGAGCACGCGCAGACACAAGTGGTTGGTATGAGCCACATGATGTCTGCAGTTTGCATGGTAATATAACAAAGCCAGTTTCCTGATTTTGGTTATACCTAAGGCTAATTTCCTTGGGAGAAACTGGATGAAAAGAAAATGTGAACTTTGTAGGGTTTTAAAACTTACATGTATTCATTTATTTCACAAATTAGAAAGAAATCTAGTGACCAATGTGAGACATGTGTATCACGGGAAGTTTGAGTCAGGAATATCATGAGTTCAAGGACAGCCTTGACTATCTAGCAGAACACACCATGAGTCTAAAACAAAACACATACAAAGTGGCCAGCCTGTTGGGTCAGTGGATAAAGAAAGCTTCTTGCTACCAAGCTTGACAGTCTTGACGATCTTGTTAGATACTTGGGACCTATATGGTAGAAGAGAAGAACCAACGCTTGCATATTGTCCATGACCTCCACACACCTGCAGTGGCATGGGCCTTTGCATGTACGTATAACAAAGGTAACTTAAATTAAAAAATACATCAATAAGGGAAAAATGGAGGAGTAGTTCAGTGGTTAAGCGTGATTACTGCTCTTATGGAGGATGGGGGTTCAGCTCCCAGCACCCGAAGGCAGATCACAGTTCCAGAGGATCTCTTGAGCTGCCTTCTTCTATTCTCCTCAAGCTCCTGCACATACATGGTACACATAACCTCATGCAGGCACGCATATATACAAATACATTGAACATTGGACTTTAAAAAAAATCAATGAGATTTTTGGTCGAGTCCAGACAGAAGGTTCCAAGAGTCAAATCACCTTTCTTGCCATTTCATGACCTTGAGTCATTCAGGTCCACAGAGGTCCTTCCTGGCTCCACCCACCACTAGCTGTGTAATACTGAAGAAGTCACGATTGGATGTCCCAGCTTCCTCATCAACGGAATGGAAATAACACCTCTAGCATAGAGGTTAAGATTGAGCAATGAGCATCCCCAGAGCCTTTGAACACTTTCTCAGAGATTGAGTTCCACAAGGGGCTTCACCCAGCCTGTCGTCTGCCCAGCTGCCACATGACCAGCCTCAGATCTCATGATGACGGTTAGTGATAAGCCTGAAAATGGACCAGCTGGAGCAGAAAAGCTAAGGCATCCTTGCTTATGTAACATGCTCCACAGCACACTGCCCATGTGGTCCATGCTCACCTGCACTTCCCTTCTGACCACCTTACCCTTTTCATCATGGCAGAAGCTTTGAAGTGGATAGAATTGCACCTGTCTTGACTTCAGACATGATTTTCTTTGAAATTATGAAGAAGTAAGGCTTACACTAGAAAAATTTGTATCCCTTTTCCTTGACTTTTATTTGGTTTCTGGCTCTTCTAATTCTACCTCAGAATGTGACCACTATATTTAAATATAATTGATTACTTTGCCCGTATTTCTCTATTATATTATATTATATTATATTATATTATATTATATAAATGTCTTAGCATCTCTTATTGCAGTGTGAACTTCCTGAGGGCAGGAGCTTCACTCTGTAGGCTGAATAGGAATTCCAGCCTATTCAGCCTATAGAGTAGTAAGTGCATGTTCTATGCATAGCCTGGGATGTCCAGGATGAAGCCTTGAACAGAGAGCTTCCTTTCCCCATCAGCACCTACAACACTCTATCAAATTCCTCACGTGTCTACCTCTAGCTCAGTCCCAGGCAGCTGTTCTGATTCTCGTGGCTGGCTCGCTGGTAGAATATGGTGTAGGTGGGTACGCCGTATTCAAACAAATGGGAAGAAAATGTGATATGAAATCCACTCTTCCACATTGTTGGAAATAACGGTCTTGTGATCTTAGAAATGAGCTTTCTGCCTCTTTCCTGGGAGATTTCCCATTCAGCATCGTGCTGTGGGTGAGGCAGGCTGGAAGCCAGTAGGGCAATGCTAACGAACACAGAACGGGCACATCTCCAGAAAACTGTGTAAAACTCTGGAAATCTTTCATGTGTTTCCTCCCTAGGACATTAATTATGAGGGATTCCTGTTCTGAGAAATCAAGATATTGGGGACAGAAAATGGCTATTGTATTCTATTCTTCTAAATGTTGCACTTAAACCTCTCCATTTGGACTTTTGTGTTTGTTGGGGAGCAAGCCTGGAGAGCTGGGGGAGCCTGCTGCTTGTAAGAGGCAGAATGAAGGCTGGCACTTCCCGTCTAGTTCATATAGGTCTAGCTATATTGGAGGGAGGCCACTTGTTTGTTCTCGGCTACCTGGTAGCTCAGCCCCGAAATGATCACACAGAAACTGTATTCATTAAATCACTGCTGGCCCATTAGCTCTAGCTTCTTATTGGCTAACTCTTACATCTTAATTTAACCCATCTCCATTAATCTGTGCATCACCATGAGGTTGTGGCCTACCAGTAAAATTCTAGCATGTCTGTCTCCGGCAGAGGCTCCATGGCTTCTCCCTGATTCTGCCTTCTTTCTCCCAGCATTCAGTTTAGTTTTCCCCGCCTACCTAAGTTCTGCCCTATCAACAGGCCAAGGCAGTTTCTTTATTCACCAATGGTATTCACAGTATACAGAGGGAAATCCCACACTACAGCTATATCATGGTGCTTTGAATGAGGAATAACCCCTGTAGACTCTGGTGTTTGGAACAAGCATGGCTCCTATAGCCTCATATGTTGGAATGTTTGGTCCCCAGTTGGTGGAGCTGTTTTTGGAAAGGATTAGGGATTGTGGCCTTGTAGGAGGGTGTGACAGGAAGCAGGCTTTGAGTTTTCAAAGGCCCACTCCAGGCCCCGTCTCACCTCACACTCTGTCTCCCACTCTGTCTCCATCTTTCAGGTGACCTGCAAGTGCTCGGCTACCGCTCCAGCTACGCCTGCTGCCGCCATGGTTCCCACCATGATGATTATGGACTAACTCTGAAATTGTGAGCAAGCCCCAATTAAATTCTTTCTATTAGAAGCTGCTTTGGTCATGGTGCCTCTTCATCACAATAGAAAAGCAACCAGGGCAAGTCCCAGTGCTCGAGTGCCTGGCCCTGGGTAGCAGTGTTTGGTGAGGTGGGGCAACCTTGCTGGAAGAAACCCATCACTTTGAGAATTTGTAGCTTCCCCCACTTCCAGTTCACTTTCTCTGCTTCTTGACTGAGGCGGGATATGTGATCCATCTCTCAGCTTCCTGCTCCAGCGGCCTGCTGCCATGCCTTTCCTGTCATTATGGACTTTCCCACCGGACATGGAAGCTCAATCTTTCCTTTGGTTGACTTTTGGTCGTGGTGTTTTGCCACAGCAGGAGGAAAGCAATAAATTCATAGCCCAGTGCTACAGTCTGGAGTGAGCCCCAAAGGGCGTGTGTTAAAACCTTTGTGTCCAGTTTCTTCTTGGGAAGTAGTGGAAACTTTAATAGGTGGAGCCCACCAGAAGGAAGTCAGGTCACTGGGGAAATGCTCTTCTAGGGTATATTGAGACGCTGGCCTTTCTTGTCTCTTTTTTTTCTGGCTCTCCACAAAGTAAACGGGCTTCCTCTGCCACGCAGCCTCGCCGCCTGTTCTGTGACTTTTCCTGGGGAGACACAGGCAAGTGTCTGTTTGCCTCCGACAGGGCACTGACGGCAGAACTAACAGATGATTCCTCTCAAGTCTCGTTGGCTTTATTGGGGTTGCGTGGAGAAGTAGGGGGTGACTCAAAGGTAAGGGTACCACGGAAAAGCCCACCTTGGGCTGTGAGGAGTTTCCTTTCGGTAATTGTTACTGCTTATATAACCCTGCTGGAGGAGGCATGGCCTCTGTGTGTGTGTGTGTGTGTGTGTGTGTGTGTGTGAGAGAGAGAGAGAGAGAGAGACAGAGAGAGAGAGAGAGAGAGAGAGAGTTCAACGTTCAATATCTTCCTTATTGCTTTTCTACCTTATTTTTTTAGGCAGTCTCTTATGGAACCTGCAGCTGGGAAGTCAGCAAACCCCTGAGATGCTGTCCCTGCCCCCCCCCCCGCCACAAGCCCTGGGAGTATGGGGCATGTACCCCATACCTGGCTGATTTTCTAAGGAGGTGCTGGGGCTCTGAACTCAGGTCCTCATGCTTGTGCCACAGACACCTTACCGACCATCTCTCCAGCCCCATTCGCTTGCAAGTTTTGACCAGATTTGCTTGGCTCTGGACCTCTCTTCAGGTCATCAGAGTTTGTTTCTCCCCCTCTGGCGAAACTGGTGTCATCATCTCCCACATCTGTTCTGCCCTTTTCCTGAAGGCAAGACATCATCTCAGGCTTCACGAAAGAACCTAAACAGCAGTGCCCACACTACCCAGAAGCTCGGGTAACACAGGTGCCTTCCGCCCTTTCCCTAGAGAAACTGAGTTTGCATTTTTAACAAGACCTCCAGGTGTCTCATTTGCACATTAGAAGGGCAGACAGGAGGCCTCAAGGAGTGCAGGTCTAACCAACTAGCTGTAGCTGGTCTTTTCCCCAGGGGCAGGAACGGAAATTCTGTAAAGACAGTTTTCTGAGTGTGGCCCAGAAGGCTGCAAAGGCTTCATTTCGGATTCCACCACAAACCTCCCCAATCAGAGTGTGGAAATCGGCCCTTTTAAAGGGAAAAGGCTGCTCACTCCCAGTTGACTGATTGACAGGAAGGTTGGAGAACCACTAACGCCGGCCTAGCTCTTCCCCTTGAAAAACAGCCCTGTCTAATTGAGTTTTGCCTTCAGCAGCCCAGAGGAAACTGTTACTCTCTGAGGGAAAAGAAATGGTCTCTTCCTCTGTCCTTCAAATTTCTGAAGCGAGTCATTCTCCTGCCTGTGTGACCGTCATCCAGTGTGACAGAATCCAGCTAGACTTCCCAACAGTTGCTTCAATTCCTTATTCTTTGGGCTACCCTCCCACCTCCTCCACCCTCACACAGGCAGCCTTCAAGCTCAGCTGTCTCTATTCCTCAGAGGGAGGCAACCCAAATCAGAGAAGAACCTTTCCATGGTGTAAATGGTGTCATTATTTGCTTTGATCGGAGCTTTGCATATTTTAATATTTTATGTCAGTTTCTGTTTTGTTTAGTTGGTTTGGTTTGAAAGACTCACGACACGTCCCAGGCTGGTTTCCAACTTGCTATCTATCCGAAGGTTACTTTGAACTTCTTATCCACCTGCCTTCACCTCTGGAATAATGGGGCTTGGAGACAGGCATTACCACACCCAGTTTCTGCAGAGCTGTCAATCAAACCTTAGGGCTGCGCGCACACAAGACAAGCGCTCTATCACATCCCAATCCCTATATGGCTCTTTTGAGACAGATTCTTCCTATGTAGCATAGGCTGACCTCTCTCTTGAATTCCTCTCTTTATGTGTGGTGTGTAACCCCTTGCTCAAGTTTGGGTGGAGGTGGGACTTGGATGTCGGGTACCTTCTTCAATCATTCTGCACCTTCTTTTCTAAGGTAGGGTGACTTTGTTTAACCCAGTGTTTGAAATATAAAAATGAAATTTATGCCCTGGCAAAGCTGAAGCATGCATGAGCAGCCCGTACATGGCGGTTCTGGGTTTCATGGTCTAAACTGACGAACACAGCTGACCAGATCTCTTCCTTAAGAGGGCACCAGATCTCACTACAGATGGTTCTGAGGCACCATGTGGTTGCTGGGAATTGAACTCAAGACCTTTGGAAGAGCAGGCAGCGCTCTTAAGCACAAAGCCATCTCTCTAACCTGGTGCTTGGCAGTTCACAATTCAGCTGGGCCGGCCAGCTGGCAAGCTGCAGTGATGCTCCTGTCTCTGCCCAACACTGAGATTGCAGTCGTGTACCACAGGGTCCTATGTTTTCCTGCGCGAGGTATCCTAACGCAGGTCCTCAAGCTTGTGTGGCACACGGTTTATGGACTGAGCCATCTCCCCAGGCTTCCAGCTTGTGCCTCCGAGTGCTGGGTTACAGGCGTGTGCCCCCACCCTTGGCCCTGTGTACTTTAATGAAGTAGCCGAAAGCTGCGTACCACGTGATCTCAGTGCAATGTTTATGTTTAGCTCGAACGCCTAGGTTTTCCCCACTTATGCTAACTTGCATTTGAACTCTACCCAGACACACTTCACTGCCATGCTCTGCCCATTGTTTCAGCTGGCCAGGATTTCTGGGTGCTGCTCTTAAAGAGATTAAACGGTCTTGACTTACAGCCATTCCTTCCTCCTGACCTCCCCCAAACACACACAACAGTCCCAAGTTTAACCTTTTATAATTCTCTGTGGGGTCTTAAGCAAGTTCGCTGGTGTGATGTTATATTAAGTGTCCCCACAAAGACTCATCTACTGAAGATTGGGGCTTCAGCTGGTGATGAGGTTGGATCGTGACAGCCCTAACTTTATCAGCCACTGATGAGCCACGCTGAATAGGTTATGAGTCCTAGCTAGGTCACTGGACTTTTGCCGCTGAAGAGTTGAAAATCCCAAGACCCATCCTGTATCTCTATCTGCTTCCTGGCCACCATGTGTTAACATGTGTTAAGCAGTTTTTCTCTATTGGGTATTCCAACCACGTATGTGCCTTGCCACCCCAGCCTGAAAGCAAGAGTCAGTCGATGATAGGCCTAAAACCGCAGAAACCCTGAGTTGAGGTAAATCTTTCCTTCCTTAAAGCAATTCTCCCCCCGCAAGGTACTATGTCTTAGTGTTAAGAAACTGCCTAATATTCTCAGTTTTACAAGCCTTTTTTAAATCTGTAAAATGGGCATAATAATGGTACCTGTTTTATAAGACAGATATGAAAGATCCAATAAAATAATATAAAGAACACCTCATCAAATATAAAGCTATAAATTTTATAGCTATTAATAAAGGCATCCCCGAGTTACTAACAGTTTTATAAATTTAACCATAATAGTTAATGAATGGATTGTATTTCTCAGAGTCCTAAATTCAGCGAAAGCCTGATACAATTTGTTCCCCCCATCAGGGACCCACTCTTGTTGTGTGTTTGTGTGTGTGTATGAGACAGAGTTTTTGTCTTCTATCAACAAGGGAGAAGAGAAACCCATCGTGAGAACTGGGAGTGTTGGGGTGTTTCTAGAAATCAGCTTCTTGGAAATGGGCTGAAACCCGACGAATCCACGTTGTTGACCTGGTGTCGCAGTGTACAGAGGACCCACTTCCAGGTTCTCATCAAAAGAGGAAGTTAAAGTTGCTAACGTTTGATCATTGGAATTTTGCTGATGAGGGGCCCCAAGCTAAGGGGAACTTGCAGTGAGCATGAGATATCCCACCAACACGAGACTCCACCTGTCTCACTGCTGAGAATTCTAGCTCTCTGGAGTTCAGCAGGGATACAGAGGCTTTGGTTAGGAGCCTGTATATGTGTGCAGATCGCCCCACAAGTAGCAAATTTCCTGGAGGAAAGAGAAGCCTACAATTTGCCAGGCAGTGGTGACACACGCCTTTAACCCCAGCAGAGGCAGAGGCAGGCAGATCTCTGTGAGTTCAAGGCTACAAGAGCGAGTTCCAGGACAGCTAGGGCTGTTACACAGAGAAACCCTGTCTCGAAAAACAAACAAACAAAAAAAACCTAAGGTTTAACTTGAAAGACTGGGAAAGGCTTGGCAGTTCTCACCAGGGTCCTGTGCTCTGAACCTCTCCAAAAAGGACTTTTGCTAATTTGCATAATTTATGTACTAGACATGATTTACATATTAGAACATACATCTTCTCCCAAGAAATGAACAGTGTTAGAATTTCAGCATAGAGGCAAGGGGGAAAGTTAAGTAGTAAATACACTCGGACCACTCAAGTAACAAACACCTAATATTTATTAATAAATTAGTATACTTGAAGGCATTTTTCCGATATCAGTTCCTCACCACTAAGCCCACCCACACAAAGGCGGCCGACCCCACGTCTGCACGAGAGCCCGACAGCTGAGTGTCAGAGGGCAGGTGGGTAAGGGAGAGCACAGGTGCAAATATATCAGTTCTGACAGCTGCAGTCATTCTTAATTAAAGTGGTTGAATGACGACAAAACCCAGCCAGGCCTTGAGGGCAAGCTGGATCTATTGACTATGTGTATTTAAAAAAAAAAAAAGAAATCTTTCAAAGCAAAGCCGGGCAAAAGCTGCCACTGGCACGCAAGGTTGACTTCCCAAAGTGCCACAGCGCTGGCCCTAAGGATGAAGATCAAGTTCTTTGGTGGCCCGGGTGACAAGCCTCAGAAACAGCAGGTCCTCGGGACGCGAGGACTTTGGTCTCCAGCCCAAAGCATATCAGCGTTAAGAGAGGAGCGCAAGTTACCAAGCAGTGTACGGTGTCCAGATGAACACCATACAGTCAGCGATAGAGAGTGTGGTCAAGTTTCAGCCATGAATATGAACTATACAACGAGACATGAGAAAGATAACTCGAAGTCTAATTGCATTACAGTAATCAACAGGGTCTTAAATACCCTCGGTCCTTAAGAACACTTGGAAAAGGACAGACAGTAAGATAAAGAAAAAAAAAAAAACCAAGCAAACCAGAAGTAGGCGTGGATGCTGAGAGACTTATATCTGCTTATAGAAGAAGTCACAAGACGCCATTGTGTTTTTAAGGAGTTAAGAGTCTCAGAACCCAGCATGTGGGAAAAGTCACACCGCATTTACCTTAAGTTTTTTAAAGTGCACAGAACAGTTTTGAAAATAGGTAAGGAGGCAAAACGTGGAGAATATGTGGAACTCAAAAAAACTTTAGTGGTGGGTATTTTCCAACAGTTATACATTGAAAAGGCTTTATCAATTGGCTTTCAAGGAGAGAAAAAAAAATAGAAAGAAAAGAAAAATCCCCAAACCCCAAACTCAGGCACCAGCCATATACCCCGTTAGACGCATACATCCGCCTACACACCAGAACACAACAGTCGGAAAGGAAATGAAGCCACCCTGGAGCAGGTCGCTTCCCAGAAGGCGGTGCCCCCATGTTCTACAACAGGTCAGGAAGATGGCTGTACACCGAGTCCAGGAGGGTCTGGCTGGCTTCTTGGCTCTTGACCCCGATGATCTCGAAGAGCCTGTCCAGTTTGTCCTCGGCCTGGGGGATCTCTTCAATCGCCCGCAGCTCCTCGGGATTCAGGACATGCAGCATGTCATCAAAGATGGGCTGCAAGTCACAGGGGTCCAGGCGGACCTGCCGCAACACTGTGTCTTTCTTTTCTGCAGGGGGCGGGGAGGGGGAAGAGAAAGACGGATGAGAGGGGCGGCAGCAGTAGGTGCCTGCAACTCTGAGACACGAATAGCTTCCCTCCAGCGTGGGTGAGTGGCCTTCTGGTACATTTTAAACAACGTAAGTTTCTTTTTCTGCAAGGGGCATAAGGACAGCGAACAGGACTCTCAGGGGTGTGGTGACCCCCGACTCTGTGATCCCAGCACTTGGGAGGCTGAGATAGGAAGAGGAGTTCAAGAGCATCCTCCAACCTGAGCCACATGAGTCCCTGTCTCACAAAACAAAAACACCGACAGAAAAAGGCGTGCTTAACAGAAATGCGGCAAAGACCTGCTTGAATGGTTGCTTTAAAAAAAAAACAAAACAAAACAAATTGTTTTTATTTTAAATCTCTCCAGGCCCCTTGAGTGGATTCCTACTGTGTTAGTAAAGTAATATCTGCCAAGTGTTTAGTTCTTCTGAAACTCAAGAGAAGTGCTGACAAGCTTGTGGAAGAAGTACGAAGCCAGTGTACTCTGTTTCTGCCTCTTTACAACTACACTGCGAAACTTAAAAAAACGTCAAAAAAGCTGAACAGTGGCGGCGCACGCCTTTAATCCCAGCACTCCGGAGGCAGAGGCAGGCGGATCCCTGAGTTCGAGGCCGGCCTGGTCTACAGAGTGAGTTCCAGGGCAGCCAGGACTACACAGAGAAACCCTGTCTCAGAAAACAAAACCAAAACCAAACAAAGCAAAACAAAACCAAACCTACATCTGACTCCCCAGGTAGGATATGCTTTTCATCCTTAGACTAGCAAGTGTGGTAGATAATTTTTTAAAACCACCTGTAGAGCATTTTATCAGATGTCCTTTGAAGCAGACATTGGGTAGCATGCTGAGAACAGAAGGTGACAGTAGGTGTCAAAGCCTGCTGGGGGACAGAGTTGGAAAGAAAGACTTTCTAAAGGTATCCATGCTAACCAGTGGTATGGCTTCCTTGAGGCCACTTTTATCTTGGAGGGCCCCTGAACCAGTCACCCGATTGGCTGAGCTGCAGCTGGACTGTGGAAGGGGCCAGAGAGAAGGCCTCAGGCCTCACAGATGCTGGTACCTTTGGTAATAAAGGAGCCGTTCCTGCTGAGGGCGGAAGAGCCGCTGGATGTGGAGTCGCAGCGCAGAAGCGGCTCCGACTCGTCCACGAAGAAGCCCTTGTTCTTGTCTAGCGGGGAGGGCTCCACTGTCAGGAGGGTGGCGTTCTCAGGCTTCACGTTAGGACTGGGAATGGGGCTTGGGCTAAGTGGACTGGGGCTCATGGGCAGGGCCAGTTTGTCAGTTTCCAACTGCGGGAAGAAAAGAAAAAAAAAATATTATATATCAAAAGTATATAGGCATAAAATTAAAGTAAACCCTACTCCTTTAACATTTTTTTGATGCTTCCATTTATTCGGACACTTTTGATTTGTTGTTACGTTGTTGGTAAACACGGACACATTTTTAGACAGTGTCTTACTACGCAGCCCAAACTGGCTTTGAGCTCATAGACTCACCTGCCTCTGCCTCCTGAGTGCTGGGAATAAAGGTGTGTGCCACCACACCCTGCCCTCAACGCATTCTTAAACCTTTTCAGAGGACATGTGCAGCCATGTGTGGTGACAGACCAAGTCTGGATTTGAGGATAGCCTGGGCTAACAAGAGTCTATCTTAAAACAAAACAAAGCACACGTGAGCAGACAGTGTAATATTCAAAGCGAGGAGACCCATAAGGTGATGTGTGCCGGCAACCCTAGCTGCTCTGGAGACGGCAAGTGCGGTGCCAACCCGGGCAACATAGCAAGGTACCACTCTAAAAAGACAAAAACAAACACGAAGCGGGGCATTTGTATGCATGGTTCTGTTACTGGTGTTGATGTGATAACGTTCTCTGACCTAAGCAACTTGAGGGAGAAAGTGTCTATCCCAGTTTACAGCTCAAGGTACAATCCACCTTGTGGGGGCGTCAAGGCTGCAGCGAGCTGGTCACGCGGCATCCAAAGTCAAGAAGCAGAGAACAATGAATGCAGGAATTCTAGTGTTCCCTTTCCCTATGCTGTCCAGGAGCCTGCCTCGGGAACGGCCCTGCCTACAAATCAGACGGGTCTTTAGACGGCACTGCGGAAGGCTGAGGCAGAACGGCACCTGTAAGTTTGGAGCTACCTGTGTGACTGTGGTCCTGTCTCCTTTAAAAGGAAGGAAAGGAGGGAGGGAGGGAAGGAGGGAGGGAGGGAGGAAAGGAGGGAGGGAGGGAGACAAAATGATGGGTCTTTTCACACCTGTCAACACGAACACGTCCAGGAATGGCCACACTCACACCAAGTTGTTACCTCAGGGGCACAGAGCTGCACACAGGTAAGAAAAAACTCAGTCTAACCCAAACTCTAACAACCAGAAAGAGTCCTAGATCATATCCAGATGTTTCCCTGTCAGAAATGGTCTTCTCTGGTGAATACCTCATAATCAAATTAATGTGATATCCCAAAAAGGTAGAAACTTCAGCCTGGAAATGTGAAATATCTTCTTTATTTTTAAATTGTGTGTATATGTGTGTGGGAGGGAGGGAGTAGCTGTAGGGAGGCAAGAAGCCGGGAACCTCGATTGCCTTGAGGAATGACCACAGCTTATACTAGAAACATGTAGTGGGCATGGGGGTGGAGCTTGCTCTATGGGTGAAGAGACCAATGCCCAGGGAGAGCACACAGTTACCCCAAGGAAACCAGTGTTCATTTCAAGTCTATTTGACCTCTTCACTTTTAAGAAATGCTCCATTCGGCACTTATGGCTCCCCTAGCCCATTGATTTTATGTTTTTATTGGCTTTCCTGGTATATAGGTTATTACTGATTGTCAAGTTGAGAAATCTAGGATCACCTAACAGATGAACCTCTGGGAATGTTGGTGAGGGTGTCTGGAGACGGGGTTAACTGAGGTGAAAGCCTCACCCTAAATGTAGCCACTATCCCCTGGCTGGGAGAGAAGGAGAATGTGGGGCTGGAGATGGCTCAGCAGCTAAGAACACTTGCTGCCCTTGCAGAAGACCAGAGTTCAGTTCCCAGCATTTACAGATGCTTAAAATCCCAGCTCCAGCGGACCCAGTGCCCTCTTCTGGTCTTCACAGGCACCCCACACACGTGGCATACACACAGACGAACAAATAAGTAGTTCTTTAAGGAAGAAGGGAGCTGAGTGTCAGAAGGCATTTCTCTGTCGCCTGACTATAGAGGCAGGGTAACCGGCTGTCTCAAGTTCCTGGTGCCATGCCTGGACTGCATCCCTTGAACTATAAATTAATACAAACTTTCTTAAATTGCTTCTCATCGGGTATCTGTTCACAGCAATGAGGAAAACACGCATGCGCGCGCGCGCGCACACACACACACATACACACACACACGGATGACTATCCAGGAAGTAGATGAGCAGTCACACATGATAGTGTTCAGGGATGACATACACTTTCCCAAAGCTGCAGAAGACCACCCTGAGAACATCTGTCACTCTCTCAAGCCCTTCAACTGAGACGCTGCCAAGCTCTCCAAACAAAAGACTGACTCTGATTTCTGATTAGACTTATGTAAGACATGAAGCCAGCGTGCCTGCCTCTTTACAACTCTTAGTGACTGAGACATTTGGGCAAATGACTGAGGGTCTGCAGAGGCCGCCGGTTCCTGTATACTCCTGACAGTCTAACGGGATGTTTCCCTAAGCCAACCCCTACAGCTGGCCATCATGCGTCCCTAGAGGGCCCTGCTGATGCTCAGAGAACAGTTATGCATAGGCTTTGAGGTTTCATTCAACAGGGCCTGGCGTAGAGCGCTGTTCCCTGCAAATGCACGCGGTCACTCATTCACGCCAATATCCTTCTCTGTGTCCCCAGCGGACAAAGAGCATTTGTCTACATTCTAGTTCTCAGGGACATTACACTGGTTGACACAGCCCATCAATATAGCACACTGTTCTTACTCAGAAAAGAGAGAGAGAGAGAGAGAGAGAGAGAGAAGAGAAAGAAAACACTTCCCACCCACAAACGCGCACACCAATAAAGAAGTCCACCCACCTATTTCCTGTACCCACTTAAAACTTTCAATCTTTATTTTCCCAACTGCTTTGCTTCCAGCTGGAAAGTTAAGCAGCCGACTTCCAGTATAATCGCACAAGGTGCTGAGCTGACGGATGCCACCGTAATTAACTCCAGCCCGGTGACTATGAAGGTGCCCTAGGGAATGGCCTGTATCACCCACCACGCTGGAGCTACCTACTGAGAATAGCGAGAGCCAGAGACCACATGCCCAGCATGCTTCGCAACCCCCCACCCCCCACCCCCCGGTTTTGGGTGGCTGGCTGCATTTGGAATCTAGCTGGAAGTTCCTTACGTTTTTCCTGTAAGTTCATAGAAACACCTTTCCTTTTTTTCTTTTTTTAAACCCAATAGTAACCCAGCTCCCAAAGCTGCTTTGTAAGCCTGTATTAGGTATTGCGTTTCCTGGCGTGTCTCTAACCAACAAACTGGATCGCTGGGCTCTGTAGAATGAAACAGTTACTCACTAATTATGGAAGGTGATAATATGGTGTTTTGAATTTATGGCAACAAAAAGCATCAATATTAACGTGGCAGTATTACTTAAGAGAGAAGGCAAGCACTTTGGGGTTTTGTTTTTGTTTGTTTGTTTTTCTGAAAACACAGTCTCATATACCCCAGGCTGGCTTCTAACTCACTAAGCAGCTGAGGATGACCTTGAACTCTCGATCCTTGCAGCTACAGTCTGGATTCTGCAGTGATGAGGACCTAGGGCTTTGTGTACATTAGACAAGGGCTCTGCCAATTAAGCCACATTGCCAGCCCGAGAAGGCACCGAAACAAGAAAGCCAGATTTCTTCAGAAGAGAGTCTCGCCATCTTTAAAGAACTATACAAAAGCTTTGTCAAAATAACCACAAAATAGAGTAACTTAATTTATTCCTTAAGCATCTTCGGGTTCTCCAAGTTCTCTGTGGGGGTATATCAATTTCACAATAGAAAAATAAAGCGTGTTATTTTTAAAAGCATCCCGACTGATAGGTATATTTTCCTTCGGCTAATTTGAAGCTATTGTGGCTGTGGCAACTTGTATTTTTTTATTGGGTTGAAAAACAGGACTGCTGGCAGAGTGTCTCTAGAGTTCAGCCCCCATGTGCTTCCATGACCGGTCCATGGGCTCAGACACCCCCATCTGACAAAGAGCGCTCTGAGAATGAGAGGAAAGGACTCGGGGAAACATAGCCAGAAAGGAAATGTATCTACCAGCTACTTGTGGCTCCTCCAGAAACACTAGAAAACCATGGTTCTTTTTGCTTTAATGCTGTCAGATGAGAAAGGAGGGAGAGCCAGAGAGACGAATGGAGAGGAGAGGAGGGTAAGGGCAGAGGGGAGCACAGCTCTCCGGGAAGCCACACCACAGCAGTGCTATTGAGTGTGCTTCCAGAGCAGGGTATTTTGTTTGGCCCAATGGGTCCTTGTTCCCCCTGATTAGTCTCCACACAGGTACACTTAGTGCTTCCAGGTGCTTATTAACAGTGGTAGGGAGGATAGACAAACAGCCGCCTTGACCTTACAGCCAAGTCAGCCCGATAACCCCATGGCTGTTGTGGTTTCCTCTCCGAGTATCAGGAACACGGAAGACAAAGAGTCATCTAATCTGATTCGATACACAGTGGGGTCTGGGGCCTGAGTATCTGGGCTCTGAGGACCGTGGCAAGGCCATCTAAGCAGTGGTGATGGTCTTCTTGTCCCATTCCCACAGAGTCTTTGTCAACCCTCCCAATTCCAAGCTGAAGGGCACTCTGTGTCCTCAGGTCAAGTGGATATCCATACTGCTGTTCTGAAGATGGGACCAGCCCTCCCCTGGCCAACTCGGAGGGTCCAGTGTTCCTTAGCTTCCGGGATGGTGAGTGTGGACACTGAAGGAAAACCCTTCCCCTCCTTACCCCTGGCAAGACTGGTAGTGACACCAAGGGAGGTCTGAGTGGTCGAATTGTCCTCCTGCAAGCAGCAGCAAGGCCCGTCCTCAGCAGGCAGGAACAGGTGGCTGTCCTAGCCCCCAGGTACTTCCAGCCTGCATTTCCTACTTCCCACATTTAAATGCTCAAGGAATTAAGTAAAATTAAGAAGTCTCAAAAGTCCCAGAAAACCACTGCAAGGAGATGTCCTATTAACCAGCTGTGTGGTCTTAGAGAAACCACTTCCCTCACTAGACGCCCCCACCCCCTTCCACGCTTCCTTTTTCATTTCTAAACTAAAAAGCGTAGGTTAGTGCACCTCTAAGTTACTTCCATCCAGGCTGTCTTACATGCTGCTTGCTTTATTATTGCCATTTCGTTCTCCTAAACCTCGCCCCCCACATGACCCTTTCTCCTTTGCCAAGTTATCCCCAATTAGTTCACTCAACTAAGGTTCACCAGAGTTATTGTCAGTTACTCCCCAATTACGATCTCTCCCTGTGGTGGCGCAGTCTGTACTCAAGAAATGAATTAAGGACTTTGATTCATTAGTGGTCCCCCAGAACAAAGCATTAATTATGCAGTCTGGATGTTCCTTGTCAGCCTGTTAAAATGGTTCAACTTAACCCCTTAGCCCCTGTCATTTCCTACATGGGTAACACCATGCTCTCTTCTCTATGATGTAGCCACTAGCCACAGGTGCCTGGTGGCCTCTAAGGAAGCCTCTGACACACAAAAGCTTTTCTTCCCACCTAATGCTCCCTCTCCACCTCTTGTAACAACACAAAGGAGTTTCTCAGCTTGCTTGTGCAAACATCATTTTCATAATGGTTTTAAGAGCACCCTTCACTAACCCTAACTGAAACTAATTGCTATTCCACGAGTTGAACAGCTTGCCACCCAGATCCTGTAAGCAAGAGGGGACTATAAGAAATAAGTCATACCCAGTGGGGATACAGTTCAGTTGGTAGTATGCTCACTGGGCATGTAAGAAATCCCTGGGATCATCGATCCCAGCACCACACAGAACTGGGCATGATGGCACATACCTGCAATCCTAGCACTCAGGAGGTGGAGAAGGAGGGTCAAAAGTTCAGGGTCTAGAGGAGACTCCATCTTTGAAAAGAGGAGAAGTGTGTGGGGGGATTTACTGGAAAACTGGCTCTCAGAAAATGCCAAGATGAATCTGTACAACCTGCCTGTAATCCACTGCTGAGGAACAAAAGCCCACAATGTTTAGAGAAGCTGGATTCTGCCATCTCATCACCAACAATACATGAGCGCAAGAAGCTGCCCCGGCCCCTGGGCGTGGTAAGGGTCGGTCAGAGAGGGGTGCCTGGGCATGGAACTCAATAGCGGTCTCACCCTCCCGCTGGACAGCTGTCCTAGGATAAAAGGATGGATGAGACATTCTGCAAACACCACACACTTTGATTGAGACCAATAATTTGTTTTCTATTTGAAAATATTTCAGACCCCAGCAGATTCGCGACGGACCAGTTAAGAAAAACAAACAAACTGAATTTCCACTAAATTTTAGGCTATCCAAAGGGAATTACAGTCACAAATAAGTCTAAAATGACAACTATGTGGGGAGTGTGATGTTATCTCAAGCTTCTTTTCCCTGCCGTCCAGCTGCTCATATAACGAAGATGAAATTAGATTTCACGTCATCTGCAGGTCCGTGTGGGAATCCCAGCTTGAGCCCTGTCTTCCGTGCCAGGTCATTATTTTGTAATATCTGACTCCATCGAGTCTACTGGTCTTTATGCTGGAGAACAAGAACTCAGACGATAAAGCAGTAAAGAAGTTAAACCCAGGCCTGGAGAAGTGGCTCAGTGGTTAGGAGCACTGATTGCTCTGGCAGAAAACTGGGGTTCGATTCCCAGGCCCCACAGGGTGATTCACCCTGTGATCTTTGATGACTCCAGCTGCATATGATTCAATACTTTCTTCTGACCCCCACAGGCACCAGAGATGCATGCAGTGCACATACTCAAACGCAGGCAGAACATGCCTACACATTAAATAAAATTTAAAAAGAAATTTAAATCTATGGGCTCCAGGGATTTCAGATAAGGGGGAGCAACGTTAGCAGTCAGGTCATAAAAATTTTTATCTGAATCTATCCCATTCCTGAGCTCACAGACTGAAGAATGCCTGCGATAATGTCTTCTTAACAGTCATTGGTGGAAGACAGATCCATGCATTGAAAGAGAGCAAGGAAAGGCACATAGGAAGGTTTGGAGGGAGGAAAGGGAAGGGGAAGTGATGCAATTATATTAAAGTCTCAAAAAGCAAAAGGAATAACAAAAACCACATTGTTTTCATTGAAAAGAGGATTAGGTTTCCTTTAAATCTTAAGTGAGAGGAGAAAATAATTTAGAAAAATACTTTATTATTACCTGTGTGTGTGTGTGTGTGTGTGTGTGTGTGTGTGACCAGAGGGTCGTCAGATCCCTTGGAGCTAGAATTACAAACAGTTGTGAGCCGCCTGTTGTTGGTCCCGGGACTCAAACTGAGGGACTCTGCAAAAGTAATACACTCTCTGAACCACTGAACCATCTCTCCGACCCTCACAGTGACTTTATTAAATCCACTTTTGAAGTGCGAATTCTTGTTGGACCCGATTCAGAAATAAACCAAATTTACTGATCAATTTTTTTTTCCAGACCAAAAAACCCCACATAGATGGAACTGGTATGTCGAATTTTCCCCAAGCCTTTCAGGAGAACTTGGTCAGCTGTCTGAGACACAGAAATGGGAACATGGATTGGAAAGAGCCACACATACAGAGATAAAGCAAGTCTATTGAAATAGAAAGAACTATTGACAAGCCTCTTATCTTTCCTTCTCTCTTCCTCTGCAGCTCAGCCCAGACCTCAGGAGACATGTGAGGAGTATATTTATTGCATGAGGAAGGAACCGTGCTGACACTTCCAGTCTAGATGACCAATTAGCAGGCGGCCAGCACAGGCCCTCTGCTGCCTGCTCTCTCTGGAGTCACTGAAGGTCATGGGATGGAGCAGGAACAGGAACACAAGCCAGGATGGGACTCCCTGGGAGCTCCCGGGCAAAGCCACAGACGAAGCATAGCTGTGTCTAACTGGAGAATCTGGGAGCCAGTGCAAGCTTGTAGCATCCAGCTTACCCACCATAGAGAGAAACTCCGGGTTAACCTGGATAGCTAATGCCTGAAGCCACTGGGAAATTATGTGAAGAGACAACACCACCCACCCTGATTAGTTGAGGCCGAGGAAAATCGGCCACGATTTGTTTACAACTGAAGTCTTACTGAAGACTGTAGGTAGGCTAGCCAGCGGTTAATTGGCCACGGGAGGTCCCGACTTAAAGTCAGGGGGTTAGCAGTATTGCATCCATGGATACTGACCGTTCCTCAGAGTTAG